ATAAATTTTGCCGGAAGAAGGACCAAAATGTTAGGAATCGGGATAGAAAGGGATAAATGATACCCAGGCTCAAGGAAGGGAAAGCGATATAATAAAAAGAGGAATAAAGGAAGATACAGGAAAACAGGGATATAGAAGAGGGCACAGACAGAAGACAAGATGACAAACCATAGAAAAAACTAAAATTATAAAAACATAGACTTAAAAGGAGGCCGTTCGTAACAGTCTCAGTAATTTAATTTAGCAACCTTAAAAATAAACTGATAGGACTTATAATAAAATACTATTTTCACCAGTCCTGAATCTGTCAATAGGCCGTATAGGCCGCGGCCTAGGGGCGGCAGATTTCAAATGACGCTCACTCGATTTCAGAAGATAAAAGTTAAATAAAGATCCAACCCCACCCTAGCCTACGGGATAGTATTACCGTGCCTACGGGCGGCAAAACTGTAAATCCGCCACTGATTTTCACACCACCCTTATCAAAAAGTCCCATTTTATATTACGGTTCTTAGGTTGTACTGGTTGTACAATTAATTTATACCTACTTACCTAACATTAACTCTCTCACAAACTTTTTTTTTAATAATGTTTTATTATTTCGCTTGACCAGGGGCGCCGTTCAACTTTCAACGTAGGTATGTAACCGGCAGTTGACTTCCGTAAAATTAAATATTATGCTGTTATTATGCAATGCAACTAATTTTAAACTTACCTAAGTACCTGCAGCCACAGTAAACTAGCCTAGGTACGTAGGTATACGGTACGTGCGGTTAACAAAAAGGTTTGCTCCTTAGATTAATTAATCTAAGGCTCCTTAGATTAATTAATCTAAGGTTTGCTCCTAAAAATCTAATAAAAAATAGTTTGTTTGAGGACTTCTAGGCGAGAAAGTGATTTGAAAGTTGTTTTTCTGTTTAACCCGTGGAACCTTACCTACGTGCCTACAGCGGACCTATAAAGTATTGTGGTATTTCTCAATGATCATGTAAGTAAATATTATAAAGTTGTTGACGAAAAGAGAGTTCAAGAAGTTCAATGTCCGCCGGCCGGGTAATTGGTAGTGTTGTTGCACCTCAATATTTTCCAAACTATCGATAAAATATACGATGTATCTATCTATTTATTTTTTCTATTCTGCAACTTGGTGATCTATGTATGTGTAATTGTATTTTTTTTTTATGTGATAGGAGGCAAACGAGCAAATGGATCACCTGATGGTAAGTGATTACCGTCGCCCATAGACACCCGCAGACCCAGGGGCGTTACAGGTGCGTTGCCGGCCTTTAAGGTAAAGATACGCTCTCCTCTTGAAAGCTTGCAGGTCGTATCCGTCCGGAAACACCGCAGACGACAGTCCATTCCACAGTTTGGTTGTACGGGGCAGAAAGTTTCTAGAGAAACGTACTGTTGTGGACTGCCAACCATCTAAGTGATGGGGGTGGAAGTGCTGTCGGGTAGATCGGTGGCGAAAAGTGGCGGCAGGAATAAGTCCGGATAATTCTTCGGAGCACTCCCCGTGATACATGCGATAGAATATGCACAGTGAGGATACCTACATCTCTACGCAGCGCCAAGGGGTCAAGCCGATCCGAAATGTCCTGGCAGTCAACGATTCGAGCTGCTCTCCGTTCAATGCGGTCCAGAGGGAAAAGCTGGTACTGGGGCGCACCTGCCCAAAGATGAGAACAGTATTCCATATGAGGCCGAACCTGCGCCTTGTAAAGTTGCAGACGATGGGCTGGAGTGAAATACCGTCTCGATCTATTGAGCACACCAAGCTTCTTCGAGGCTAATTTAGCCTTACCCTCTAAATGACCACGGAACTGGACTTCGCTCGATATGTCGACACCAAGGATTCCGATATTGGCTGAGGCAGTTAGGGGAGTGCTCTCGAAACAGCGGGATACGACAAACGGCAACTTTTTGGCGGTGAACGCGCAAACTTGTGTCTTTGTAGGGTTAAATTGGACCAAATTGCGTCGACCCCAGTCTGAGACCTCCTTCAAGGAGGTTTCAATGTCGGACACAAGTTTGTTACGGCTCTCAATGACGTTCTCCCGAGAGATATTTGCGCGGCCGGTATAAGCGGCATCAACCGTGCTGTCGTCCGCATAGCAATGAATGCCGCTAATTTGCAGCATATCATTGATATGCAGAAGGAAGAGCGTAGGCGATAGCACACAGCCTTGGGGGACACCAGCATTCACAGACATAGAGTCTGAGCATTTGCTGTCGACAACGACCTTAATGCTTCTGTCTGCTAAAAAGCTGGCGACCCATCCGCATAATTTCTCGGGAAGCCCATAGGAAGGGAGCTTCGAAAGAAGCGCTTTGTGCCAAACCCGATCGAAGGCCTTCGCCATGTCCAAACTGACCGCCAATGCTTCCCCCTTAGTCTCGATCGCCTGTGCCCAACAATGTGTCAAGTAGACCAGAAGATCACCAGCCGAGCGACCTCCACGGAAACCGTACTGTCGGTCACTTAGCAACTGGTGGGCCTCTAGGTACCGAAGGAGCTGGCTGTTGATAATGGATTCCATTATCTTCGAGAACAAGGAGGTGATTGCTATCGGCCTATAGTTGGACGGATTTGAGCGGTCACCTTTTTTAGGGATCGGGTGCACCAAAGCTGTCCTCCATGAGGTCGGGACTATGCCAGAGAGGTAGGAGAGCCGAAAAAGGCGCGTTAAAACCGGTGCTAACTCTGGAGCGCACGTCCTCAGCACGATAGGAGGGATTCCATCGGGCCCACTCGACTTATGGATATCCAGGGAAAATAGAGCCAGGCGTACTGAGCTTTGGTGGAACCGGATATCCGGCATACAGCTCTCACACCTTGGTATAATCGGTGGCTCATGTCCCCCGTCATCCAGTGTCGAGTTGGACGCAANATTGTCCTGAAGCAGTGGTAGGGTTAATTGGGACGTGTAAAAGTGCTTTTTTTTAAGCTTATTTACAGAAATAAATGAGTTTTATCGATTATAATTAAACATTAGAACATTCACGTTAAAAAGTTCGTAAAATACCTACCTACTTATTTTTTATGATTTAAAGTGATAAAATAGAGTTTTAGATTTTCAAGTGAAAGTAGCGCTTCGCGTTTAAGGCATGCAAGATATTTTACGCTAATATCTAAATTAATCTTTTTTTATTTCGGTCAGACAGGCGTTGGAGCGCGGGGCCCCCAAATTCGCGGGGCCCGTAGCATTTGCTACTCTTGCTACGTGGCTAATCCGGCACTGGGTAATAGAGCAAAGTAATATAAGGTCTAGACAAGTGGCAATTTTTGATCGAATCGAATCCATTGTACCTCCATACAAAAAAGGCCTTTAAACCATCTTTTGACATTACATCGGTCACGTTTGCCACTTGTGGCAACGGTCGACAGGAATGAAATTTGATTCTGGAGTCCGACATACCGACTATCGCGTAAGATTTAAATATTCAAAAAACGACAATTCAAAAAATTCAAATTCAAAAATTATGAAACTTAGATAAGTACATAATTAGTTATGTATTTTTAGCAGTTTTTTTGTTTTTTTTGGATGAGTAATAATAATTTTGGTACATTTAATGATAATTTCTTAGTTTTGGATAAGTGTATCGTGAGAGAGACGTGACTTCGTTAGTCGACAATCAAGCGGCAACACTATTATTTAGTTTCACGACACAACTTTTTTTTTGCTGTTGAATGTCATCACTGTCAAAGTCAAAAATTTCCAAGTTTTCTCCAAATCCAAAGTTTGCTGCAACTTGATTGCAGAAAATAAAATTTGAGGAAAGTGGGTAAATTATCACGTATACTTTCTAAATGTTACTTTACCCACAATTACCGGTGTGTTTCTAAAACTACGATAGCTATTTCGGTGATTCTAAAATTTTATACACCTACAGTTGCTACAGTAGTCTCGGAAAAGTGCGTGCGTGCCCATTTTGACCAAAGTACATAATTAATTTTACGATCGTAGGTAATTTTCTTGGCCTGTATCTAAAGCGACAGCCATTACCAAACGGTATAATGTCATTACTGCTGTAATTGTTGTCTACTTTGTGAAACTGACTTTAACCTTTAGCTACTGAGGTGGATTTAATTTCACGTAAATACTGACGTGGGGGCCTGAGAGGCCCGTACATATGTGTGCTTATATTTAAAAATATATAATCTTTTTAGGGTTTTATGTTTAATAAGTATTAATAGTGGTTATATTTAAATACAATAAAACGATTTTTATGTAAATTATTTGTTAATAAGTACGTATTATTTCAATATTTAGAAAACATGTAGCATTTTTGGCAAAAATGTCATGAAATCATGATTCACAAAGTTATCATGAAAAATATTCATAAATTCTACAAATCAACTAAGAATCTTAATTATCAATAGTCTTTTTAGCTAATGATATATCAGTAATCCTAATATGAAATAGGGGGAAAAAAATTACACACATCAAATAGTGCGAATTAAACACAGTCTGGATAAGCTTGCTTTGCTCAGTGGAGGAAGCCATACATGTTTTTAAAATGTACATTTCATTTGAATCTTCAAAATACATGTATGGCACTTGGTTTCATCATTTAATTCTTGATAGACAGGTACAGGCTTATCATTTCCTAGCATACGTGCCAAAACTACTGTTCTTCTATTTTTCGTTAAATGCTGGTTATTTTTACTTCCGAGATACCGCTTTCTCTCGGACGACATACTGTGGGCTCCATATTATAGATTTTTTCAAATTATTTCAAGAAAAGACAAAAACTAAATGAAAACTATAGACAAAAAAAGTTACGCCAATACTGAGGTGGGGGCCTGAGAGGCCCACAAGAAACTTTTTAATTAATTTACCTACTGAAATTGCGCGTGCAATCACGTGCACCGTTGTTGACAGCCTCGGCGCAATGAAACTCGAAGGTACTAAAAGATTCGGTTGTGTCGTGCACGTGGGAGAGGAGAAATTCAACAATTTGACTTTTGCAAGGCCTGAGAGGCCCCCACCTCAGTAGTTAAAGGTTAAATTACTTGTGAAATATTATTAAGTATTTTTTTTATCATTTTTAGGTTTGGTGAGCTATGTGCACATCTAACGTGACTAAAACAGATAACCCTGAGGTAAGCAAACTTTGATTAGTTTTTAAAAATCCTATTGACTATCCGCAGTAGCTCGGAGAATTGAAAAACTTAACTTTCAGTGGGCTAGACGCAGCTTGTAGAAATAATGGCCTCCCACTAAGTGCACCGACGATCTGGTGTAGGTAATGGGATGCAACTGGATTTGGGAAGTACAGGACCAATTTGGCTAAAACAAATGAACATACAGTCGTAATCAAACAATTTAAACAAATCATATACATTAACTCATCAATCCCCAAGTGGTCGCTTATGACTGTGTAACAATATTTATTATTGATTGTTTCTCGATTCACAGAGCTTAAAGAGTAAAGCAACTGATTTAAATTGCTAAAATTATGATTAATTTTGCCTGTTAGTTATTGAGCAATTTTTTATACAAGGAAAAATTATTTATCTCAAATACCTAACAACTATAAATTAATATAATTTATTGCTTTAATAGTTGTTTATCTTTCTATCAATAAAAATTATAAAATGCTGATGAATCAAAAGGCAGTTTCTTTTTTCTTTCATGTATTAAGTAATTGGTTACAGATGTTTTGTTATTATTGACAAAAACAAGGCAAATAATTCCCAGGATTTAATGAAAATTGAATTTTTTTCTAGAGTTCAGTATTTGATAACCTATCATAACGATAAGATTAACCAATATTACTTTCATTCCATCAGCGTCGCAACCGCAAATCTTCAAGAATATTCTGCGGGATGGCATCCAACATATTGAAGCACTTGTACCTGATCTTCCGGACATACCTGGACATGTTTATTGACATCGTCTTTGCATTCATCTTTGAGGGGAAGAGACAAGCTATACCGGACCTTGAAAGTCGACATGCGATCCTGGCTCAGAGTGCGGTATCTCTGGCAGCGAAGATTAGAAATAAAGAACTGACGTCTCAAGAATTGGTGACTGCTTGTATTGAACGGATCAAAGCGGTGAGTGTAATTTGTATTTCTACATCGGCATTATTTTTTAAGTATACAAAATTGTTAGCAAACATTATACAGGATGTAATCCAATTATTTTCATGGCCTATAGAAGAGAAAGAAACTAGGTAGGCTCTCTGTGGCCCTGTGGTGTGGTGTGTGGTAGTCTACTAGCTAGGTTCTAGGTTCTAGCTAGGTTCTGGGTTCAATAACTGATGAGACACACATTTTATACTACAATCTCATATGGCTCCAATTGAGCCAATTTACTTTCAAAATAGAAGAAAAAAAAGTTAAATATTTCTAAAAATACTAGATCTAGTTTCCAAGTGTTGATAAAGATATTTATTTACATAAACATGTATTTGTAACACAGTATTTAGTCATCAAGGGCTTTTATAATAATATGTCATTCAAGGGATTAAATAATCCGTGTACGGTCTAAAGTCCGGTCGCCGAGCAGATAGAATTTTGAATCCCATCCCTATAACTCGCACGTAATTATATTGCTGTCGCGACTGTGCGACGGGCGGCCGCAGTGAGTGTGCGAGCGCGATAGTAATATAATTACACGCGAGCGATAAGGATGGGGTCATTGGACGAAATTCTGTTCGGCGACCGGACTTTAGACTGTGCACGGATTAATACCATTTTCACTAAAAAAAATTTTAATGGCTTGCAGGTGAACCCTGTCCTCAATGCTGTGGTGGACGAGCGGTTTGAAGACGCCTTGAAAGAAGCGAAAGAAATTGATAAGAAGATAGCTGAAGGGCTGCCAAAAGAATATTTTGAAAAGAAACCTTTCTTAGGTAAGTTATACTATAGTCTGGTCGCCGAGCACGTAGAATTTCGTCTCGCTCACTCACTGCGGGCGCCCGTCGCACAGTCGCGACAGCAATATAATTACGCGCGAGCGATAAGGATGTGTAGTTTGGGGTCATTGGACAAAATTCAACGTGCTTGGAGACCGGGCTTTACACATAAGGCCAAAGGCAAGAGACTTGGAGTAATTTTTATAGTCGTAATAACATTCTTAAAATTAACACTGTGTTTCAAAAACCATTCAGTAGTTTTTGTGTGAAATTAATAAATTACTATTCCCTCCTCTCGTTCCCACCGCTGCAACTACTGTGTAGCCAGGATCTACAGCTTGACTGCCAATAAAAACCCAACCAGTGAAAGTAATGAGTAACAAAAATCCATACAAACTTTCCCGTTTGTAATATTAGGTTCTTTAATAAATCATGGCTTATTCAAAAATAGCAGTTACATAGGGTGCATATGTACACTACCATTGTTTTGTAAAAACATATCCGTTTTCTTGATTACGACAAGTTTCAAAATTAAACCCTAGGTACCTACTTTCTTAATGCAGTGTTGTGCATGTAACTTGGAAACAATTAAAAATAACTCCCACTGTATGTTAAAATAAAACATTACGTGTTGACGTCAGCACTCAAATTGGCGAACACTGAAATAAATGAGGAAAGTAAGTTCAAAGTTTATATTTTACATTGTTACCGTGATCGTGTTAAAAATATTAAAATTACCGGTACAGTCTGATTGGGTAACATTGACTCAAAAAAAAGTTGCAAAAGGTTTTTTTTTCTACTGATTTATTTAGCTTTTGCCCGCGGCTTCACCCGCGTGAAAATCAATTTGTCTTAGATCGTCATAAATTATAGCCTATATGTTATTCTGGGTTATAATAAACAATAATACTGTACAATTTCATCAAAAACCGTTCAGTAGTTTTTGCGTGAAAGATTAACAAACATCCAGACATCCAAATATGGTTTGCAATATTTCACGCACATGTAAGAAGCGTCATCTGTGAGGCCTCGTAGTCTACATAATATTATAAAGACTAAAGATTTAATAGTTCGTTTGTATTTAATAGACTGAAACTACAGTACCGATTTGAAAAATTCTTTCAACATTAGAATTCTACATTAATTCTGATGAAAATAGGTGATACAGAGTTCCTTGAGTCAGCTATTGTTCTAGCGCTTAACTTAGACAGTGCCTGAGGATGGGAGCGGCATGGGAGGCGTGACATTGACATAATGACGTGACAGAACATACAAATCTGAACTCTCGCTGATGTTTGACGTTTCTAAAACACCCTTCCGCGCCGCTCCCACACTTCACACACTGTCTGAGTTCAAATCAAATCAAATCAAAAATATTTATTCAGTTTAGACCACAAGTGGCACTTATGAGCGCTTGAACTATAAAAAAAACTCAAAACTCATTTATTTTTACAAATAGGCTTTTAAAGCTAAGCGTCCACTTGTCGGTATCGTACGCAACGGACGCATCTTACAAAACACATCGTATGGGATGTGCGATGCGTACGATGCGGACAGGTGGACGCACTTATATGAGTTTCTATAAATAATACTACGATCCGTTGCGTGCGATACGTCCGATGCGTACGATACCGACATGTGGACGCTAGCCTTAAAAAGCACTTTTACGGGTGTAGTATCAAATCAAATAAAAACAATCCACAGGAGTGCCCTTCACTTCGAAGGAGAGCCAAGCGGTCGCAGGAATGTTGCATCCACTCGGGCTCAAGTCGCGGGCGCACGTGCGTGCTAACGAAGACGCGGAATGCGTGCGATTGATGCGCGAGAGTGGCGCCATACCGGTCGCTGTCACTACCGTTCCTGAGGTCAACCAATGGTGAGTTCTACACTCAACTGTTCCTACAATAGGGTACTTGACAGCTTCTTGAATTGAGGTGAACGTCTCTGGTGCGTGAGGCGGCGCTATACCGGTCGCTGTCACTACCGTGCCTTAGGTTAACCAGTGGTGAGCATTACACTGTTCTATAAGGCTACTTGACTAGCTTTGAACGCCTCAATTTTGAAGCTCTGGCTGAAGATTGATGACGCAAAATGCGTGCGTTTTGTGTGCGGATCGCTGGCTGTTACTACCGTGCCTGAAGTCAACCAGTGGTGAGCTTATTACACTCTGTTCTCTTGTTCTATAAAACTATGTGACTAGCTGATGTTGCACCCACTCGGTCTCAAGTCGCGGGCGCACGTGCGTGCGCACGAAGACGCGGAATGCGTGCGATTAGTCCGCGAGAGTGGTGCTATACCGGTTTCTGTCACCGCCGTGCCTGATTTCAACGAGTGGTGAGAACTGGTATTTTTCCTAGTTTTACAATAGGCAATTATTAATTTTGGACTTGGTGATTTTGAAGCTCTGACTGAAGGGGGGAGGGGGCAATTGAAATGCGTGCGGACGCTGTCACTACCGTGCCTGAAGTCAACCGGTGGTGAGAGCTACACTCTTTTCTAAGAAATGTTAATCATAAGAGTATATGTTGTTGGTATGCCATATAAATAAATAAAGAATACTTGAATAGCTGATGTTGCACCAACTCGGTCGATTCGTGCTAAAAATAGCTGTAAAAGTTAATTTGTAATCTACCAAAGTGGAAATAATAACAGATTGGTACACCCAAGTGACATCATCACATAATTAATTATGTATATTAACACTTTCCTAGACAGTGAACGTCCAGGAAAGTGTTAATTTGTATTAATATGTGCCTGCCTATATTTCATTCTTAACTACGGGTTCATCCAGTGTCTGAGTAGCTCAGATGGAAGAGCAGTCGTCCGGAAAGCGAAAGGTCGTCCGTTCGATTCCCGCCTTAGGCAGTTCGACTTTTCAAGTTTATACTATAATTTACTCTTATCTGTTTCCAGGCAGGAGACTCGCAGCATGGTGCACGGGCAGACTAACAACCCTTACCACACCGGGCGTACCACCGGCGGCTCGAGTGGCGGCGAAGCGGCGCTGGCTGCTGCCTTGGCCACGCCCATCGCACTGTGTACGTTATACGCCTTGTTTTAAGAGCTACTTTCCTGTGTCGCTGGCTGATAATGGCGCTGTTTGTGGTTTGGCCACGCCCATCGCACTGTGTAAGCTGTACCGGGTGTATTCATTTTTATACTTGATCAAACGAAGGGGATGCTTTTACTGTTCAAATGCAATTCAAATACACTCGACATCAAATAAATCGCACCTCCCGCGACAAGCATTTTCAAACGTATGCATCCCCACTTCCCACCAATATTGGCACCATTGAAAAGCCTAGTTCTAAACTTCATTTCATTAAAGGAAAGGTTTTTACCCCAAAAATGTGTCTTTAGAAGGATCCAGAGTCACTTCTTCAAAAAATAGGTAGTTACGCTTAAGCCAACTTTTATGGCTATAAAACTGTTAAGTTGGGATTAATCGCTATCTATCTGTTAAAGAGGACACGTGTGATAAATATTTGGTTTTATAACCATAAAAATTGGTCTAATTGATCCCATAGGTGAGCCCAAAGTGAGGTCTTTTTTCAAGTCACATTTAATCATTTATATGTTAATCATTTATTGAGCAATTAAATGTATTTTTCTTAAAGGATATTTACTGGTCTTTCAAATAACACCAATATTGTCGGGGCACTATGATTGTGTCAGAAGAAAATCTTTAAAGTTCGCTTTGCGGAAGGTGCGGTTTATTTGATGTTGAGTGTATTAAAAAAACAAAGCATTCCATACAAATTTTGTTTATGTAATTTAGTGGTACCATTTTTTTTTCTTTGGCTAAAATAGATCTGAAAGTATTTTTGACTTCTCCATTGCAGGTTCGGACATTGGCGGTTCCACGCGCATGCCAGCTTTCTACTGCGGCCTGTACGGATTCAAAGCTACGCCGGGATACACCAGCATCAAAGGTCAATCATCAATCACTTAGATTGTGGTTTGAGGGATTTGCCACGCTAGATGCGTTCTGCAGTCAGTGGTCAGGTCACACAGGTCAATTGAAGCCACGATAGCTGAACGGTAAAGAGGTCGAACTCGACTCATCATCCGAGGAACGCGGGTTCGAACCCCGCTGACCCTCGACTATTATGGTGAACCGACTCGTGACACAAGAGGCTAACGGGATTATTAATAATTTGTGCAGAAACAAATATTCGTTTAAAAAAATGTGAACGCAGCCCTCAACATATAATATGAACTATTAGTATCATAGCTCATGAGTTAGTACTAACAACTATCGTCTTCAAATCAGTAACCCAACAACCTGTCACCAGACCATATACGCGCATGCTGAAGTCTCGCTGACGTTTGACGTCTCGAAAACACCCTCCCGCGCCGCTTCCATACCTCAGCCACTGACTGAGTTAAGCGCCAGACCTTTAATTTTAGTCCACATAAATAAATACAGGGTGATTTTTGTATCAGTATCCAAATTTTCAAGATCGACTCAAAATCAGTAACTTAATTGATTTACGTAAAGAAAACAAAACTTTTTTCTCCATATTTAATTATCTTCATCCGCTGCGCGCGGTTTTCAAATTGACTCACGTGGAAAATTTGCTTCGTTCATGGAAAAATACGTACACATAGTTAACTGCATAATGGTCAGCGGAAATAAGCAATAACCTTTATAGTCTTTTTCACGTAAGATGATCCGTATGACACTTCAAGGTTATCCATATTACGCATACTACATATGCAGAATATTTTTGAAAAAATATTTGTATTTTATTAGCAATATAATAAAAAAAATAATTAACTACTTGTCTTGAAATATATAGTAAAATCTGAGTCTATTGATTATATTTTAATTAAATACGATGTAAAATTATTTTTTATTTAATGTACGCAATGTGTGAAACGGAATAGATTTAGTGCTGGGGTATTTCTTGTTTAATAAAATCGATTATTTCCGCGGTTCATTAATCGATTGCAGTGAATACTTAGTTACTAAAAACATCACAAAAATAAACTTTATTTTTCAATTATTGACTTTAATAAACGCATTGAAAATAAATTTATAGTTTTTAATTTAAAGAAAAAGAACCAGTACTTTGAATATTATCAATAAAAAATTGTTACAATAATATTAGTAATTAAAAAAAAACATGTTTTTTGTTAAATAACACCTATACAAAATATTTCTCTAAAAGTAGGTTTCACTACCTCTTCGAATAAAATCGATAGATAAATCGCTATGGTTTAGTTATGTGACATCTCTAAATCTTTCAAACTCGAAACGTCATACGGATCATCTTAGGTGAAAAAGACTATAAAACGTAAGATATGGGCACCCGCGAATTAGACTTTCAATATATTTTTTTCCGAAAAATACCACGATTAAAAATAATTACGATAAAGTTGTATCGTTAAATTGTTCTAAAGAGCTTATTAAAAAAATTTGGATACTGATAACAAAGTGTATATTTTTATTACATTTTTGCTTTTCTTACAATATTATTAACCATTTAATTATAAACCCAGTTACTTTAATTTAAAGGCACGTGTCTACGCTCTGGTTTGGATCCCACCATGGCGTCCATCGGCTTCGTGTCCAAACACCCAGTGGACCAAGTGCCTCTCACCAAGATCGTCGCACCCACCTTGGACTTGGACAAACACGTGGACGTTAAGGTAACATATTTAAGGTTTATCCTTACCTTACGCCTACACTGGACCTGACAACGTTAAGGTAAAATTCATACAAATTCAATATAGACTAAAAAAGCACTTAAACACGTCCCAGTATTATCCCTACCACTGCTTCGGGACAAAAAATGGGCCAGTGCTGAGAAGAAGCAGCGCAAAAAACTCAGTAAACTCAGTAACAAAATAAGGTTTATTTTCTCTCACCTAACTGGTCGCAACAACTCAATACCTGGACAGACCTCTCGACTTTAAGGTAAAGGAAATAAGGTTTAGTTTGCTTACTACGCACCGGACTTCATCCGACCATGGCGTCCATCGGCTTCGTGTCCAAACACCCAGTGGACCAAGTGCCTCTCACAAAGATCGTCGCGCCCACCCTGGACTTGTACAAACCCGTCGACGTTAAGGCAAGTTATAAAGGAAAATTATGCAAATAGCAACAATCGATTTCTCGAAACCGGTACCGGGCCTTGTCCAGGAGAGCGAATTCGCCGCGAATCCTACGCGCGTAAAGCCTGGCCCGTAATTATGTTGCTGTCGCGCTCACTCACTCACTGCGGGCGCCCGTCGCACAGTCGCGACAGCAATATAATTACGCGCGAGCGATAAGGATGGGCAGCTTGGGGTCATTGGACAAAATTCTACGTGCTCACGGACCAGACTATAGTAGCTAATATATTGCGTCCACAAGACACGTAAATCACGTTATACAATAAGCACGTGCTCGTTCGAAGACATACGTGATGAATTCGCCCTTCTGGACAAGGCCTAAAAATCGACACGACATTATAGCGCTATTTCAACTGGCAAATCTATTTTTAATTATAATTTTTCTTTTTTGCGTTGGGGATTTTAAACTTATTTTGTTAAACGTCAACAGATTCAGAATCCTCATATTTTGGCAATTTATTAAATTGATATTGAAAATTATTTTCGAAACGGGTTTTTACAGAGTGTAATGATTAATATTCTTTTGGCAGAACGTGAAATACCTATATGTGGAGACGGCACAAGACTTACGAGTGAGTCCCATCAGCAAGGAGCTTCGTCAAGCCATGACCAGGTAAATATTATACATTAATATCTCTAATTAATTCTATGTATTAGCAAACAAATGTTTTAATATTTTATGCCCATTATCTGGTACAATCAGCGTTAAATAGTTCGTGATATCCAAAGTAGCCAAAAAGTTCGCAACACGTCTTTGATAATCGTTAATGAAGTTGTGTTGTCAAATTTTTGTCTACTTTGGGTGTCACGAACTACATATTTGACACTGACTGTAGTACAAACTGATTGGGTGCGTTTGGCGGAAAAAAGGCGCTATTAAGCGAAATGGATGGAGTGGACCGACGTCATCATTAAGGTAGCAGGAAGGCGCTGGACGCAGGCCGCTACCAACCGCAACATGGAAATTGGAATGTATTAGGGGAGGCCTATGTTCAGCAGTGGATGTCCAATGGCTGAGATGATGATGATGATGCAAAATGGCAATCGCTACGGCAGTTTTCGATGAGGATACGTTTGCTAACTTGTGACGTGTTTCATTAGTTTTTTTTAGCAGTGACAGCGCTTACCGCTTTGCGATCGCCATTTGGCTTATAAGCGCCAAACCTACCTATTGATTTTGGCGCTATTTAAAACATCCTACGATTTTTATTTATTATCTTCCCCAGGGTGATAAAGAAGCTAACAGAGCAAGCCCCGAACACAGAATGCGTGCCCAAAGAGTATTCCCACGCCGGCCTGGCTTATATGTTCGCGCTGTGGCAGCACGCCATGACGAAGGAAACGCTGGACTTCCCCGCCGTGCTGGCCAACAACCAGGGGAGACCTAACGCTTATGTCGAGCTGGTCAAGAAGGTATGTGGGACCCGAACACAATCAGTACTTAAGACTGCCTGACCTGCTCAAGTAAGCGAAACGAAGTCGCGAAGAGGTGAGCAAAAATCCACCAATAAAACTACAAAAAATCTCCGCTCCACTTTAGTATACAGGGAGTAGGTATACCTCGCTGGAATGCGACTTCCTCAGGACTCCGGGGAGGACTTTCTTAGGATAGCGGACCGAGGCGTCAGAGCCGTGAGCGAGGTAAAAATCCACCAATAGAATTGTAAAATCTCCGCTCCGTTTCAATGGAAAACTTCTCGCAGATTCACTCATCTCCGCAACGTAGCTCCACTTCTATAGAAGGACACAGCTCTTAACTCCGTTCTGCTCCGCTTTGCTGAAGCATAAACGGAAAGCGGAGCAGGGAAACGGAGCGGAAAACTCATCGGGTGCTCGCGGCTTCGCCTATAGAAAACACGCTCCGGATACTTTCTCGATTAGCTCCGCTACCTAGCTCCACATCTATAGGCAGACACAGCTCGCATCTCCGCTCCGCTACCTCGCTCCGCTCCGCTACCTCGCTCCGCTCCGCTACCTCGCTCCGCCTAGGTGCAGGCAGCCCAAAGAGTATTCCCACGCCGGCCTGGCTTATATGTTCGCGCTGTGGCAGCACGCCATGACGAAGGAAACGCTGGACTTCCCCGCCGTGCTGGCCAACAACCAGGGGAGACCTAACGCGTATGTCGAGCTGGTTAAAAAGGTATGTGGGACCCGGACACAATACTGTCTGAAAACGGGAGCGGAGCGAAGTAACGGAGCGGTGAGCGCGATCAGAATCCATAATGAAATGTCCGCTCCGCGTATAGAAAATACACTTTCTCGCTGAGCGCTGCCTAGCTCCGCGACTATGGATAGACACAGCTTGAAACTCCGCTCCGCTTTGCTAAAGCATAAACGGAAAACGGAGCAGGGAAGCGGAGCGGAAAACTCATCGCGTGCTCGCGGCTCCGCCTATAGAAAACACGCTCCGTATACTTTCTCGTTTAGCTCCGCTACCTAGCTCCACATCTTTAGGCAGACACAGCTCATATCTCCGTTCCGCTCCGCTACCTCGTTCCGCTTAGGTACAGGCACTAAAGAGTACTCCCACGCCGGCCTGGCTTATATGTCCGCGCTGTGGCAGCACGCCATGTCGAAGGAGACGCTGGACTTCCCCGCCGTGCTGGCCAACAACCAGGCCCGGCCTAACGCTTACGTGGAGCTGGCCAAGAAGGTTTGTACCATTTTGTTTGCAAGTCACTGTAAAATACCCATTAGATCACGAAATTAAAGCGATATTGAGCAAGCTCCTAACACATCGCAATTTGTAATTTGAATAAATTGTAATTTTAAGTATAAATTAATATTTATTTATTTATGTATATCTTGGCTATGGCAGAATAACAGGGTTTGTGGGTCTCCTGCAATCACTGAGTCATAGACCTTTTTGTCTCTTATGCGTTTTGTAACTGTGATAAACTGTAAATGAAACCTGTTTTGAGACAAATAAATACTTTCTATTCTATTCTATTGCTTAAAAATGGATCTGCGCAAACGCACCAAAAGCCGCCAGTGGCAGGAATTGTTTTATGAGCGATGTATAGCTCTTTTTTTAGACTAAATGACAACGCGGTAATTACTGATGCCAATCACGGTAGGGCATGTATCCTTTATCAAAAATATGTAGTTCTATCAGAGAACATAATAATGAAAAATGAGTTTTTGTGCTAAAGCTTGGATGTGAATAATATTTCTTTAACTAGAGGCAGCCTCGGTTGGAGCGGTCGCTCAACAAACAAAACCAGAGGTTGCTTTTAGTGATCCGGCTTTTCTGTTCGAGAGAGCATGTCTAACGTAACATACCTACGGGTCTTTGACTACTCGTTTGCTAGCGTGTCAGTTAATTATCAAAATGTTTATGTAATTTTTAACGAGTAAAAATAAACTTTTATTTTTTTTCTGTCAATTCCAGTGCCTAGGCTTGTCTCAGTATACGCTGGCGGCGGTGCTGAAGCTGTTCAACGATGAAGTCATCCCGCCCATCAACAAGGAATGGGCGGAAAATCTCACCAAGGAGTTTGCGGACGACTTGACGGTACGTTGTCTATGGTCTTAGTATTTTGTATCTTTCTGAAGACAACACACGCTGTAAAAGGTGACAATATAAACGGTGCAAATGTCGCAGGTCTAGCATGAACTTCGCCGATGCTTACAAGGCCTGGGTTTGATTATCTGGTGGGAAATTTGTTCTAAGGTATTCGATGCCGATTTTTCGTTGTCCGAAACATTAAGGCCATATCAGACATCCTATGTCATAAAATAAAGTATAGTTTCACACCATTGTAAAGACTGTTTGCCGTGAGTTGATAAAAAAAATTAAATATCAGAGGTTCTAAACTCATTATAAATTGCGGCCCGCTAATTATTTTTGTCGATATAATGAAAAAGTTGGTAGATTATCATTATTATCTCTTTTAAATTTACGGGAATTATTCCGGTTAGGGCATACGTGGGGATACGGATCAAACACGTGGCGTCCATGTGTTGGATAAAAAGTATTTCATTATTATCAAGTGGCTTATAGTGTATCCCAATGTTGGGCAAAGCCCTACCCACTGTCATACCATTCATTTCGGTCTTAGGTAAAATAAATCTATTCCGTTTCACACATTGCGGCCCGCCGGCCGGGGCGCTTGACGACAGCTGCGTGGCTCGTACCATGGTACTCAGTGCGCGTTGTGACAAACGACGCCCGCCATACAGAATGCGATAATTAAGGCGATTAGAGTCCTCAATCCGCGCCAAATGGGCATTTTGTAAAGCCTACTCCTCTTTTACTGCTGGACAGAAATAGTTGAAAAAAATATATGTTATACAACAGTTCAAGGACTACATTTGTGACGTTTGAATTTTCGCCAAGTCTCTTTGTTTTGGATTAAAAAAATAAATACGGGACATCGATTTTTTACTTAAATTCCCTACTCCTCCAAAACGGCTATGTCAATTTAAAAGATTTTTGCACGAATAGATTGGGAATTCTTTAATCTTTAAATGACACGTTGCGTTTTTCAATCGAACATTACTTTCATTCATAAATTTTACTTTTTTTTCGAATTGTAACAAAGAAGTAGATTATCTGAAAAAGGAATTAAGTGCACATTTTAAATTAAAAGACTTAGGTCAACTAAAGAAATGCTTAGGCATGAATGTTCAGATTGAAAAAGATAGGATTTATGTAGATCAGAGGCAATTTATAGAACATTTGCTTTGTAAATTTAATATGGAGAACTGTACAAGCGTAGAAACTCCTATGGAAGTAAATTTAAAACTTGAAAAAGGCAAAAATGAGACAAGTAATTATCCTTATCAGCAATTGATAGGAAGTCTCATGTACCTCTCAGTTCTAACAAGGCCTGATATATCTTTTTGTGTTAGCTACTTGAGCCAATTTAACAATTGTAACAACCAAACGCATTGGAAACATGCCAAGCGAGTTTTAAGATATTTAAAAGCTACAAAATCTTATGGTTTGATGTATGTTAAAGATAACTTAGATATAATTGGATATGTAGATGCCGATTGGGCTTCAGATGCAGTAGACAGAAGGTCCTATACAGGATATTGCTTTATGTACTCTGGATGTGTAGTTTCTCATGAATGTAGAAAGCAGCAGACAGTTGCATTATCTAGTACAGAAGCCGAATATATGGCTGTCTGCGAGGCTAGTAAAGAAGCTATTTTTCTAAAGAACCTTTTATATGAACTTCTTAATAGAAAGAATTTACCTGTTCTGTTATACAATGATAACCAGAGTGCTAAAAAACTTACTGAAAATTGTATGTACCATAGAAGAAGTAAACATATAGATGTGAGGTTTCATTTTATTAGAGAAGCTGTTCAAAATAATTTGATAGAGATTGCATATCTAAACACTAAAGAAATGCCAGCTGATGTACTTACAAAAAGTTTGTGTAAAGTTAAACATACTGAATTTATAAGAAAATTAGGCATTGTGAATTTAAAGTAAAATTGTAGCTTCAAAGTTTATTAGTGTTTTTGGATTATTTTGCTAAGTGGTGGTATTAGTATTCATTGATATCAAAATATCCTATTACATAATAAGACAGTTGTCTATGCATTTTGTCTATTGTACTTATCTATGACTAAAACAGAAATAAAAAGATTAGTCTGTGGAAAGCTACTCTCTGCGTTTTATTAAAAAGCATTAGAAAATTTACGAAAAATAAAATAAAATTTTATCCCGTACAAAATGTTCATGGATTTTGTTATTTTTATTAAATACCTTTACGCCTGAGTTAAATGACACCGACATCAAGGTTCATCAATTTAAGTTTAAAATAATAGGCAGTAATGTATGAAGAAAGAGTTTCTATTCTGTATCTACCTATGCCCGTGTATTTTTGATCGGTGTCAAATCGGTTTTTTTGGTGCGCGGTACGCGGGTGTTGCTCGCGGCGTGAAGGTCAAACGCCCAAGGTCATTGAGGACTCTAAACGCCTTAAGCGACAGTCGCTATTGCAAGACATTTCATAATATTTATCAACTCTCGGATTTGTTCGGACTACGTAATTTCTATTTTTCACATTCCAGAGCGCCCTAGGGCCCAACGGCGTGCTTTTGTTTCCCTCCGCGCCGGCGGCGGCGCCATACCACTATGCGCTGTTCACGCGGCCCTTCAACTTCGCCTACTGGGCCATCATCAACGCATTGCACATGCCTGCTGTACAGGTCAGTAGACTTATTGAGATATTTGTCCCCATTTTCACCATCAATCCCTAATTTTAAGTGACCCTTATGGTTATTCCTAACAGGAATTTTGTTTTCAAAGGGGTCACTTAAAAATTAGGGATTGATGGTGAAAACGGTCATGATTCTTTTTAAACGTTTGCAAAGTGTTACCTATTACATTTTTGTCTTTTAAAAAGTCCAGGAATGCAGGTGAGACATGACGCTCTGTAACATTTTGCTCGCACATTATTTTAAGATTTTCGTAACTAAAAGTAAATAGGCTGTCTTGTTGTTTGTTATTCTGTAAAGTACATGAGATGTAACAGGCTGTATACCTCATTTACTTTACTGGGTAGATGATGGAATGTATATTATCCATCCAAATGAAAGAACGCGAGATAAATTATATTGTAACATAACGTTTTTATTTTCGTTGATGAGACAGATGTAAAACTAGCTATTGCCCGCGGCATCACCTGCGTGAAATTTAGTTTGTCACAGATCGTCATAAATTATAGCCTATATGTTATTCTGGGTAATAAACAATAATACTGTAAAGTTTAATCAAAAACCGTTCTGTAGTTTTTGCGTGAAAGAGTAACAAACATGTTAACATCCAAACTTTCGCATTTATAATATTAGTAGTATGGTTACTTTCTTCTTAGGTTAAAGCGCATACATCTTCTCTCGCACACTCACTGCTGCCGCCCGTCGCACAGTCGCGACAGCAATATAATTACGCGTGAGCGATAAGGATGGGTAGCTTGGGGTCATTGGACAAAATTCTACGTGCTCAGCGACCAGACTATAGACGTGTATTCATTTATCTTTGTCAAATTCCCAGGTGCCTCTCGGGCTGAACAGCGAAGGCCTGCCCATAGGCATCCAGGTGGTAGCAGCACCACACAACGATGCATTGGCCCTCGCCGTGGCTGCGCACATCGGGACCACTTGTGGCGGGTACGTGCCGCCGTGCAGGATCATCGAGTAAGGTTCAAGGTGGGAGATAAATACACCGTCAAATTTTAGTGGTTGTTGTTCCCGCGGCACAACGATTTACCTTTAGTAGTAGGGTGATTGCTATAGTAATCAGCCTATACATAGTTATTGGCATATTGGATTGTTAATAAGTAAGAGACAAAATTATTTACTACATTGGACTGCGTATTGCCCAAAAAAAAATATTTGTCTCTTTTCCTCTCAACTTCCATTAGGCTTGTTTCTTTTCATTTAAGGCAAGTTGGCCAATAACTATGTATTGGCTAATTACTATAGCAATCTCCCTACTATCGAACCGTGCGAGTTATTTTTGAAAAAAAAAAAAATAGTTCTCATCTAATCAAAAAAATAATTATCTACTCGAAAGCGTAAGAAACGACAGTTTTTTTTTACAAAATGTGACGTATTTGGGTACTGCCTGCCTCACCAAATCAATGTTTAAAGTAAAAGAAGCTCCCGTACTAAGTAATACCATAATACCTACAGCATAAACTGAATTGCACACGTTCCGTACAGGAAATTTTTTGGTTTGAATAAAAATGAAAATGAACTTTATTGTGAATGTGAATTTAGGTAAACAATAGCAGATACATGGCTTAATAATAGAAACGCTCCAAATTCTACCTTTTCAGGCGTATTCACAAATTATACAAATATTATTACAAATAAAAAACTTCCTGAATCTATAGTACTACTAAGATAGAATCATTTTACTGCGGGAAAACAACCACTAAAATTTCACGGTGTATCCTTATTTTATGATTGAGTAGTAGAGTACTTTGAAGATGGGCTAGACTCTAGAGAATTGGTACAACCCGATCAAGCTAACTGCGCTTACTGCGCACCTCGCACTCACCCGCACATCTCACTATAATAATAATAATAATAAACCTCTGGCTTGCCTTAACCGGCCGGCCAGAGTGGAGTCGCTAGAGCTATATGCTCCAGGGCCCCGCAGGGCAGCTTTGTGGCGAGCTGTTGGTGAGTAGCGACACCACGGGGCCAGTTGTTAATCCGAGTGCTCCCGAGAGTCGGTCAAGACCCTCGTCTTCGGCTTGCCGAAGTGGAATCCGAGAGGGTCTGCAGGACTTTCACCTCTGGCTTGCCTTAACCGGCCGGCCAGAGTGGAGTCGCTAGAGCTATATGCTCCAGGGCCCCGCAGGGCAGCTTTGTGGCGAGCTGTTGGTGAGTAGCGACACCACGGGGCCAGTTGTTAATCCGAGTGCTCCCGAGAGTCGGTCAAGACCCTCGTCTTCGGCTTGCCGAAGTGGAATCCGAGAGGGTCTGCAGGACTTTCACCTCTGGCTTGCCTTAACCGGCCGGCCAGAGTGGAGTCGCTAGAGCTATATGCTCCAGGGGTGGAAGTGTTAAAGGGCATAACGCCGCGAGTAACCTCGGAGAAAGCGCAGCACACCTCTCTACACCCCTGAGCTGGCAGACGCCAATGTTGCCTCTCAGTCCGGTCTATACGACTCATGACGCCAGGGGGGGCCCATTTAGTCGCTGGCTAGTCACCGCCTGCCATTTTTTCAGTCCGAGACTATGAACCAGGCAGGTGACCCGTAGTCTCCATCCATAGCCCAGTAACCAGTCCATCCATCCTTCATCCATAACCCTAGTCCATTCTCCAATAACTGCAATAGCTCCTGTGCACAGGCTGGGGATGGTCTCTGGCTACATCCCATGATATAGTCAGAGACTAGATCCAGCATGTGCACCACTTTCACTTTTGTCGATTATTTTGCGCTTAAAACGGCCTCTACGTGTTGGATCTGTATCCCCACGCAAGCCTTATAAAGGACCGGGCCACTTTTGACCCGTGAGCTCCAAAGCGTACAAACATAATAATAATAATATACTTACCTCATAGATATTGCCGTCCCAAACACCCATAACCTGAAACAGAAACACACAGAAAAAATCCAAAAATACCTTCCTCTAGCTGATGAGATAAAACAAATGTGGCACCAAGATATCGTGAGAATTGTTCCCATTGTTATCTCGTCTACCGGCGTAGTCCCAAAAACCCTCAGTGCTGCTCTTAAATACTTGAACTCCACAAAAACACGTACATATCGCTCCAAAAATCAATAGTTATAGACACGTGCTCAATAGTACGGCGCTTCTTAAACCCATCCACGCTTACACTACAAACCTCCTAAGACATCAAATGAACCAGGATACTTGGCATAAGCCCGTACCTGTTTCATTACTGCCGACTACGGTCGAGATCAAAATTCTTTTGAAAAAAAAATAATAAAATTGTTTATTCACCATAACAGAAATATGTACACAGTGTTAACAGAACTTAATACATAAGTATTTTAGTACAGTAGGTACAAGTCGGTAGAATGGCATGCCCCTGTCCTCTAAACTAGGATAGATCCTGTATCTTACTCACTCACTGCGTTCGCTCTGGGCGTTAATGTGACGTCACTGCCGCCAAGTGCGCAGTTAACTGACCGGGTTTTGTGATTGTTTTATTTATTGAAAGGAAACGGGCAAAAGTTTAGCTAACGTGGATCGGGGCTGATATTGGTATAAATGAAAACTGCATTTTATATTATTAAGTGGAACAATAGGCGGCTAAGTAAATTTTTTTACATGTGATAATTTTGTAAACTTCTTTTTAGACTTCGATTAAATCAATGCATTTAGATATAAACATAAAACTGTTCTATTTTTATACCACGAATAATAATTAATTATTTTTACATTAAAATTAAGTGGAAAAAGGTAAAACGAATTTTAAAATATCAGAGATATTTGAACTCTTTATGTAGCTATTTTTATATTTCTTGTACCTGGTATGAGGTATCTATTAATTATTAGGGTAATTAAAATATTCTGTTAAGTTTTATTTGACATAATAAATACTCGGGAAGTCAGTTTATGGAATAAATTAATTTTATACTACCTATTTATTGTATGTTGGGAAAAAATACTCTGGAGAAGATTAGCGCCATCTATGGTTCTTTATATGAACTATTTTGTACCGACTCCTGATAGTTCAATAAGAAAAGAAGAACCATAGATGGCGCTTTACAAACAGTTGCTTATAAGTAAATAGAAGGCGATAAACATTGGTTTACAATATTATATTAGTCCGTAGTAAATGGTATTCTTCACTGTCGTTTATATTTATATTATATTTTATCGTTTTAATATTTATTTTTCCTCGTCATGCATGCCCATACTACAGGTTGCTATTTTTAAATAAATATTAATATAATTTATGAGAAAAAAATATATTTGTAATATTATAGTGAACATAAATTTGTATTTTGAAGTTCCTTGTACTGTTTATTATAAGACTGATATTTTGTGTATGAGTCGTGTACGGTGATGGTGCTAGGCTGTGGGTGTCTATTTTTTAATAAAACTATTTTGAAAATACCTTTTAGTTATCGTCTTTTTAATTTATACTTAAGAAAACGAACGAACTCCATGTTTCACGCATAAAGAAACTTTTTTCATCGACACACACTATCGTCCTTCCAACCAGATTAAAATGAGTCTTGTTAAGTTCGAAGTTTACTCGGTCGGCGGAATAGCACTTGTAGGACTAGGATGCGACGTGAAGCGGTTATACATTTTGCCGTCGATAAAGAATATCACGGATTCACGGCGCGCATCTTAGCCCGGCTTCATTGTAAATATACTGGTCTGCTCCTCACAACTTTGGAATGCATAAGGGTAATAAAATAAAAGTCGGTGTAAGTTCGCTAATTGTATATTGAGACGTGGCGGCGCCCTGCGCGGACGCTCTTCCCGCAGATATTACAATAGTCAGATGTAGTCAACAGATGTAGACTGGTTTTAGAACACCAGTCGACCTAGATGGTGGACGCTACAATAGTCAGGTGTAGTCAACCCAGAGGTGGACGCTATCACTTCCTCTAGGTATACGAAAGTCTTAGTATGTGTGTGTGTGTGTGTGTGTGTGTGTCGCCTGCAAGATGGCGGCGAGCGCGGGACGCGGACACTTTTCTACCAAACTATCTACCTAAAATAGACTAGAAATCGAGTCCATATTCCTCTGTTTAATTTTGGGGTTATTGAAATAAAAGTCAGTGTAAGTTCGCTAATTGTATATTGAGACGTGGCGGCGCCCTGCGCGGACGCTCTTCCCGCAGATATAACAATAGTCAGGTGTAGTCCACCTAGATGGTGGACGCTACAATAGTCAGGTGTAGTCCACCTAGATGGTGGACGCTACAATGGTCAAGGTGTAGATCTAGCATCGACCCAGACGCTGTCACTTCCGAAGTCGCTAGTATATGAAAGTCTTAGTATGTGTGTGTGTGTGTGATGTGTGTCGCCTGCAGGATGGCGGCGAGCGCGGGACGCGGACGCTCTTTTCCTGCAGATATAACATCGCTAACCTACATGGAATGTACGCTATCGCTTCCAAAGTCGCTAGGTTAAAATGAGTCTCAGTAAGTTCACTAGGTATTATGTTATTGCTGAATCTTTCTTTTTAATCCACGAAGTGACATAGGGTTAATAAAATAAAAGTCGTTATAAGTTCGCTAATTGTAATATTGAGACGTGGCGGCGCCCTGCGCGGACGCTCTTCCCGCAGATATAACAATAGTCAGATGTAGTCAACCAAGATGGTGGACGCTACAATGGTCAAGGTGTAGTCAACCCAGAGGTGGACGCTATCACTTCCTGTCACTTCCGAAGTCGCTAGTATATGAAAGTCTTAGAATGTGTGTGTGTGTGTGTGTCGCCTGCAGGATGGCGGCGAGCGCGGGACACGGGCGCTCTTTTCCTGCAGATATAACAATAATTGCCAACCTATATGGAATATACGCTATCACTTTCAAGGTAGCTAGGTTAAAATGAGTGAATGAGAGAATGCTCCTCCCAACTTTATGGTGCATAAGGGTAATAAAATAAAAATCGGTATAAGTTCGCTAATTGTATATTGTGACGTGGCGGCGCCCTGCGCGGACGCTCTTCCCGCAGATATAACAATAGTCAAGGTGTAGATCTAGCATCGACTGATTTTAACAGTAGTCAACCCAGACGCTGTCACTTCCGAAGTCGCTAGTGTATGAAAGTCTTAGTATGTGTGTGTGTGTGTCGCCTGCAGGATGGCGGCGAGCGCGCGGCGCGGGCGCTCTTCTACCAGAACCCAAAATAGACTAGAAATAAAGTTCATATTCCTCTTTTGAAAGGAACGAATGCACCTATAACTACATCTTAGCCCGGCTGCATTTTAAAGACACTGGTCTGCTCCTTCAACTTTGGGGTAAATGAAATAAAAGTCGGTATAAGTTCGCTAATTGTATATTGAGACGTGGCGGCGCCCTGCGCGGACGCTCTTCCCGCAGATATAACAATAGTCAGATGTAGTCAACAGATGTGGACTGGTTTTAGAACACCAGTCGACCTAGATGGTGGACGCTACAATAGTCAGGTGTAGTCAACCCAGAGGTGGACGCTATCACTTCCCTAGGTATACGAAAGTCTTAGTATGTGTGTGTGTGTGTGTGTGTGTGTGTCGCCTGCAGGATGGCGGCGAGCGCGGGACACGGGCGCTATTTTCCTGCAGATATAACAATAATTGCCAACCTAGATGGAATGTACGCTATCGCTTCCAAAGTCGCTAGGTTAAAATGAGTCTCAGTATAAGTTCACGAATACTGGCACAAGGTTAATAAAATAAAAGTCGGTGTAAGTTCGCTAATTGTATATTGAGACGTGGCGGCGCCCTGCGCGGACGCTCTTCCCGCAGATATAACAATAGTCAAGGTGTAGATCTAGCATCGACTGATTTTAACAGTAGTCAACCCAGACGCTGTCACTTCCGAAGTCGCTAGTATATGAAAGTCTTAGTATGTGTGTGTGTGTGTGTGTCGCCTGCAGGATGGCGGCGAGCGCGGGACGCGGACGTTCTTTTCCTGCAGATATAATAATAGTTGCCAACCTATATGTACGCTATCATTTCCAAGGTAGCTAGGTTAAAATGGTTATTGCTGAATATCTTTCTTTTGGTAAAAGGTTAATAAAATAAAAGTCTTGTATAAGTTTGCTAATTGTATATTGAGACGTGGCGGCGCCCTGCGCGTCGCGGGCGCGGACGCTCTTCCCGCAGAGTCAGATGTAATCAACCTAGATGTAGTCAACCTAGATGGAGATATAACAATATGTAGTCAAGACAAGATGTAGATCTAGCATCGACCCAGACGCTGTCACTAGTATACGAAAGTCTTAGTATGTGTGTGTGTGTGTGTGTCGCCTGCAGGATGGCGGCGAGCGCGCGGCGCGAGCGCTCTATAACTACATCTTAGCCCGGCTGCTTGTAAATACACTGGTCTGCTCCTCGCAACTTTGGAATGCATAAGGGTAATAAAATAAAAGTCGTTATAAGTTCGCTAATTGTATATTGAGACGTGGCGGCGCCCTGCGCGGACGCTCTTCCCGCAGATATAACAATAGTCAGATGTAGTCAACCAAGGTGGTGGACGCTACAATAGTTAAGGTGTAGTCAACAGATGTGGACTGGTTTTAGAACACCAGTCGACCTAGACGGTGGACGCTATCACTTCCCTAGGTATACGAAAGTCTTAGTAAGTGTATGTGGTGGGTGTCGCCTGCAGGATGGCGACGAGCGCGGGACGCGGATACTTTTCTACCAAACTATCTACCTAAAATATACTAGAAATCGAGTCCATATTCCTCTGTTCAATTTTGGGGTTATTGAAATAAAAGTCGGTGTAAGTTCGCTAATTGTATATTGAGACGTGGCGGCGCCCTGCGCGGACGCTCTTCCCGCAGATATAACAATAGTCAGGTGTAGTCAACCTAGATGGAGATATAACAATATGTAGTCAAGACAAGATGTAGATCTAGCATCGACCCAGTCGCTGTCACTAGTATACGAAAGTCTTAGTATGTGTGTGTGTGTGTCAGTGTGTGGCCTGCAGGATGGCGGCGAGCGCGCGGCGCGAGCGCTCTATAACTACATCTTAGCCCGGCTGCTTGTAAATACACTGGTCTGCTCCTCGCAACTTTGGAATGCATAAGGGTAATAAAATAAAAGTCGGTGTAAGTTCGCTAATTGTATATTGAGACGTGGCGGCGCCCTGCGCGGCGCGGGCGCGGACGCTCTTCCCGCAGATATAACAATAGTCAGGTGTAGTCAACCAAGGTGGTGGACGCTACAATAGTTAAGGTGTAGTCAACAGATGTGGACTGGTTTTAGAACACCAGTCGACCTAGACGGTGGACGCTATCACTTCCCCTAGGTATACAAAAGTCTTAGTATGTGTGTGTGTGTGTGTGTGAGTCGCCTGCAGGATGGCGGCGAGCGCGGGACGCGGACGCTCTTTTCCTGCAGATATAACAATAATTGCCAACCTAGATGGAATGTAATGTACGCTATCGCTTCCAAAGTCGCTAGGTTAAAATGAGTCTCAGTATAAGTTCACGAATACTGGCACAAGGTTCAAAAAATAAAAGTCAATGTAAGTTCGCTAATTGTATATTGAGACGTGGCAGCGCCCTGCGCGTCGCGGGCGCGGACGCTCTTCCCGCAGATATAACAATAGTCAGGTGTAGTCAACCTAGATGGAGATATAACAATATGTAGTCAAGACAAGATGTAGATCTAGCATCGACCCAGACGCTGTCACTAGTATACGAAAGTCTTAGTATGTGTGTGTGTGTGTCGCGAGCGCTCTATAACTACATCTTAGCCCGGCTGCTTGTAAATACACTGGTCTGCTCCTCGCAACTTTGGAATGCATAAGGGTAATAAAATAAAAGTCAGTGTAAGTTCGCTAATTGTATATTGAGACGTGGCGGCGCCCTGCGCGGACGCTCTTCCCGCAGATATAACAATAGTCAGATGTAGTCAACCTAGATGGTGGACGCTACAATAGTCAGGTGTAGTCAACCTAGACGGTGGACGCTACAATAGTCAAGGTGTAGATCTAGCATCGACCCAGACGCTGTCACTTCCGAAGTCGCCAGGTTATGAAAGTCTTATTAAGTTTGCCGAGTTAGGAACCTGCTATGCCGGTCAAGGATGCGCGCCATGATATACTTTTATTGACGTCAAAATGTATGGGTAAAGTCGATAAAATAATCTAGTCCTGTTGTCTCCCCTAGCCAGGGGGGACAACAGGACTGCACCGATAAAATAGCGTGATAATCGCTTAGCGTGGCGTGCATTCTAGGCCTCTGTTGCGCGCAAACGCTATACTACCATCATTCACTAGGGATGTCATTATTCACTAGGGTTCAAAAAATAAAAGTCAATGTAAGTTCGCTAATTGTATATTGAGACGTGGCGGCGCCCTGCGCGGACGCTCTTCCCGCAGATATAACAATAGTCAGATGTAGTCAACAGATGTGGACTGGTTTTAGAACACCAGTCGACCTAGATGGTGGACGCTACAATAGTCAGGTGTAGTCAACCCAGAGGTGGACGCTATCACTTCCCTAGGTATACGAAAGTCTTAGTATGTGTGTGTGTGTGTGTGTGTGTGTGTCGCCTGCAGGATGGCGGCGAGCGCGCGGCGCGGGGCGCGGCGGGGCGGGGCGGGGCGCGGCGGGCGCGCGCGGCCTCAGCTCGGGAACTTGCAGTACAGCGCGTAGTGCAGCGCGTAGCCCGCGAAACGCACGAATTGCGCGTCCTTCTGCTCGAACGCGAATAGCGAGGATATCTTTTTTAGTTGGCGAGGCGTGTCTGCGCCGGGCGAGTCCTGTTGGAAGAAGCGTTGGTTTAATGTCTTGATTAACCCACTAGCTCTGAGTAACCCACTAGCTCTGATAGTAAGAGCAAACCGATAGCACATCAACGAAAAAAAAATGTCTTGATTGTAACAATGTCTTGATTAACCCACTAGCTCTGAGTAACCCACTAGCTCTGATAGTAAGAGCAAACCGATAGCACAAATGTCTTGATTCCAACAAAAAATAAGGGAAATTGAGATGTAGGCTGTGTTGAAGGTTTCTGATTTAGAAAAATATTACAAAATAAAACATTATCAGGTGAGATACAGGCCAAGAGCTTCCTCGTTGTATAAAAAAAAGAGACTCGAACACTATCATGTATGAGGCAATTATTGATAAGAAAGGCAAAAATCTGGTCACCAAAGTCTGACATGGTTCAATTAATAAGATAGTGTAGCGTATTTCGTGTTGTGAAATACGGAATCATGTACTTTAGTCAATCTATTGGTCTTGTCTTTTAAACTCTAAAATCTGTGATATTCTAACTAAAAAAGACTGAAATCGAATCCAAATTCTAAACCTTTGAGATGGAAGAGTCCACCTGTATAACCTCAGATCTTTAATTTTTTGACGCTATTCCAGTGCAGCCTTTTACAATGGTCTGCTCCTCTTGCTACGTCCTCCTTGAAAGCTTGCTTCTAAAGGACTGCCATTACCCGAAATGATGGGGGTAATATAAACGATAGTTTAACCAAGTAAGTAAGACATCTTACCGGCGACGCGAAGACCGTGAGCACGAACTTGGCAGGGCGGAAGGCGTCCAACACTCTCTTGATGAGGTCGTCATAACTAGCAGCTGGCACGTTGGATTCAAACGACACGTACGAACATGCGCGCTCTGGCGTAATGTGGATCGTCATGTAGCACCCCTGCGGCAAAGGAGACACGTTAGTCACAGTTACAAATGAAATAAAGGCACTCTTAATGCTATATTTCACCGGGACATCATGGCGGCGCAACCAGTCGCCGGCTACCAACAAAATGTATACAGCTCTATCGAGAGTTACCTGGTGTCCGTTTGGTTGCACAAAGCTGTATACATTTTGTTGGTAGCGGCGACTGGTTGCGCCGCCATGGTGTCCCGGTGAAATATAGCCCTTAGACCCGGTATACATCAAGGCGTAGCGGAGAAATGTCGGGCGGCCAAAGTTTTCTATAGAATTTGAACACGGCGCGGAGTGGAGTTGGACGGTGCGGAGACGAGAAGTGGAAATAATGAAAGCTGATTGGTTATTCAACACACTTCTCTGCTCCGCTTAACCTTTAAACCGGGCTTTAATAAGAGCTATCGTTTTTACACTTAAAAGGTGACACCACTGGCGAGTGATAGAACTTTACTCTACAGTGGCGCCATCTTGGTGAGCGCATGCGATAGTCCTCTCCTAACGACTCAGCGCTCACTAGTTGCCGCCACTGTCTTAGCCACTACACTATAGATAGATAGATGACCCACGCTGAACTGTCCCACCAAACTCAATGACAGGGGGGCGCTACCATCGTTCAACTATATGGTTTCCAACATGGCAAAAATCGGAACCAGCGATTCGGTATTGACGGTGGCGCCCCACTGTCAGTATTTTGGAACTATAGCAAGTGACGGGGCCTTGTCACTTGTCCTGTCACTTGCTTGTGGCTGAGACAGTGGCGCCAATTGGTGAGCGCAGAAACGGTAGGAGTAGGAGAAATAAATGGCCCTATCATACGCCAATGGCGCCACTTCCTCATTGTTGATTTTTATCGACCGTAATTTCTTAGAGGATATTGAACAGTGGAAAGATTCCTATTTATTTCATAATAAATCTTAGTCACATAACAAATCCTTGCTAATGACTTGTGTAAACACTACATAATTACATAATCCATATTCATCAATTAAATCAATTACTAGTAAACAATATTTGCATACGAGATCATCTGCAATTAGCGCTATCTAACATGAGGAAAACTTTGTCAATTGCTTACATAAACGCGTCTAGTGTAGGTACATATCAAATTGTTACGATAATCGCTCTCCCGACGTGCATAATTGCAAATGAACAATCTGTGTGGACTTGACCGAGAAAGATTAGGTATTTTATGTAACGAGGAAAATCGTTTTCTCATACCTAAATCACAGTACATGACAGAGCTCTTACAGCGATTTGTTTTAAATTGTTTCCTTATTTTTCAGTTATTTTTTCTTGACCTTTTTCGACATCAAAACAAGAGAAACAGTGGCCCTAAACACACAGTTTCAAATCTCTCGAATGAAATTGTGAATTATAAATACACAGCTGTGAAACAGCTCAGATAAGCAGTATTTAACTATAGTTGAAACTTACTGATGGAATATCCTTGTCTCCCTGGCAGCGTTAAATAAATAACAATAAAATTATTAACTAATAAATTAAACTATGTACAGTGAGCGACACGCAAAGTGGCCAAAAAAGTTGACAACAAAAACTTATTCCAATAGGGATGATGACTGGCTAATGAAATCGAAATTCTATTTAGTCTGAAAATATTAGACTCACATTTTTTAATTTTTTTCATAATCGAATAATTACAGATTATATTGAGTTAAAATGTCGGGCGACGTCACTTTTGAGTAAGAATTCTACTCAAGCGTGATGTAACGCGCTATTTCAACTCGATGTAGCACTGTTATTATTTAATTATTAAATAAAATAAAAAATATGAGTCTAATATTTTCTAATTATTTGTCTGACGGACAAATTATTGAAATTTTGTCATCCAGCCTATTGTAACAAAGACGTGTTGCGAACTTTGGGTGTCACGAATTATTTGACGAAATCTAGGTGTGAACCTTCAGTAATTATTTGGGAACACTAATAAAGGTTATCTACACAGATAAATGCGTTTGTCTTGTGGTCTATCAAACGGGTTAGTGTGTCATTGAATTGGATCAGGGTCTAATGCCAATAATGGGTTGCGGAATTAAGTATAGGTACTTGTCATCTTAATGATTAACAGGTCCAAGGTTTCTTACTGTCAAATGGACCAAGACCCCTAGACAAGTTACAAAACGTTACCGTTTTAATTTCGAAATCGCTTCTAGAAGCGAAGTTACGCTGGATCGAAGCGATTTCGGAATTACAACTAAAGCTTGCCACAGTGCCGAAATATCGGAAACTCAAAATTAAGGTAGATACATGGTAGCAATCCCGTCAGTAATAATTTCTTTTTACAACTAAAGCGTTTTGTAACTTGTCTAGGGAAAGCAGAATGTTACTTAGCAGCTCCTAGACAAAAAAGTATCATAAGACAAGATTTACGCTATCTTTTATCTATGGAAAATAAAGTATCATAGACAATTGATAGGCAATACTTCCTTCTTAGTCTATGGGAAATAGAACAGTGAAGATACTCACGTCTTTGGCGACTCCGTTCATGGAATACCCGCACGGGTCGAACAGGAAGTCGTCTATCACCATCCCTGGAATGATTTTGTCAATGCCTGACGCCTGCAACAAATAAACAATGGAATCAGTATTATAGTTACAACATCGTGCATTGAAATACACAAATGGTAGGCGAGTATGGAAGTAGTTTTAGATAAGAATAAGAACCCTAATCCATAGGATGCTCAAAACCCTTTTTGAAATATACATCTAGGTCACAAGAACAACAAAGTTATAATTTGATTTACGGTGTATACTCGTTTAAATGCACGTACACGCAAGTCGCCTAAAATACTTCCAAAGAATGACATAGGCTAAGAATATAATCTGAAATATTATTCGCACGTAATATCGTCGACAGTACATCAGAAAATAAATTTTTAGCACATTATTATAACTGCATAAGATGCCATGCCTTTCAAGCTAAGCTTGATGTGAGGTTATGTGTTTGTACAGACGACAGCACGCCAATATAAACACTGAGGTCTATGTAGTTGTAAAAGGAGCGAGTTTGCAACAAAAATGCATAGTCTGATGTGCTGTCTACCTACAATGGCGGCTAGATATCGTAGAAAGTTCAAGTTGCCTTACTTTAGTAGCTTCGGCAGCTGTGGCGGAGCTGGCCCTCGAGAAGATATCCATGACGGCGGGATCCAGGTCCGACATCAGGATCTCGATGGTCTGGTCCGGCTCCGACGACTCGCAGCAGTTCACCTGGATCTGTTCCTTTTCTAGCGCGTCTACTGTACCTGTGAAGGATTTTAGGTTATTTCTTTGTTACAAAACTGACTGAAGCTGGCCGACTCCTGATGAAAATAGCATAGCATACCGTGGTGCATAATCTTTTTCTTAAAGGTTTTTAAACCTTTGTTTGTCACCTGTCATCCGCTTTGCAATGGAGGGAAGTCGAACCTTAATTTCGAACTCCTCCTATGTTCTTCTGATTAATTTTGTTGCGGGTCCAATGACAGTTTAACTTTCCCCCGGGACAAACTTGACCTTCATTGGTTGGGTTTTTGTGGCGGTCAAGCTGTAGATCCTGGCTACACAGGAGTTGCAGTGGTGGGAACGAGAGGTGGGAATAGTCCCGTCCTGATGAAAATAGGCACAGAAGAAGAAGGAAGACAGCTAACTGAAGAGCTTATTGTAAATAGTCGTCTTCTTACATATTATTATGCTAGCCGGTACAAAAAGATGGGATCTAGCTAGCTATTGACTTAAATTAAAGTTGGTATTTGGAATAATCATCATCCTTTCTTGTTAGGGCAATAGTGCTTTGACGCAAAAATTAAAAGTTGAAAGTTTAGGTTTGAATAATAAATTCATCATGATTAAAAAAAAATAAGAAGTGAAGGCGAAGAATTAATTTCACGTAGGAATAATTTAGATCGTGGTGATGTGCGACAAGTCAATAACCAGTAGGGAAAATATTAAGGTGAGTATTATTATTTATTTAGTTTTAGTTATGGTGCAAAGCAGATCAGAGTATATTTAATTCAAACGGAATTTTTAAGTTTTTAGTCTCACCTTCAAGCGGCAATAAAGTGTAGAGGTACCAGCAGTCCTTCTCAGGACCCATAATGTACGCGCGTCCGTCGCCGAAGTAGGAGTCCAGGAGCTCCACCTGGAACAAGGAAGGACATATTTACTCCACCGTCAGCCTGCAGTGCACTGCACAGAACTTATAACTAATCGTAAGTAAAATGTGGACACTTGGTGGACCGATGACCTAGTAAGTTCAAGGGAAACACCTGGATGCGGGTAGCGCAGGACGGGTCATTGTGGGAATCTTTGGGTGTTTGTCTAACAGAGCACGGTACGTCCTAGTTTTTTTAAGATAAAATTTGGATTCTCTTACTGCATAGGTACTTTCAAAAATTATGAATTCAGTTCAAATTGTTTAACTTTCCCTAACTACCCCGTCTCATTATCCAGCATTTGTTTTAAAAACTCTCAAATGTTATAAAAACGAAATACGAGAATATTTGGAAACATCTCTCAAAAATATTATACAAACATACGTATCCGACAACAAGTTTCATCAATTCCCAGAAGAAGGTATCAACGAATCGGTGCATATTTCCGAGAGTTTGCGTGCGTTTGTCACTCAAGACGAAATAACAGCCGACTGGAATGAGACACATCGGCCGTGTCACGGCAACGTCACCGTGATCATCTCATTCATGGACTGGCACATTTGATGCGACAAAAATTGCTAAGATTGGAAGAACACTGTTTCGTTATGCTGCAGTAATTTGCATCTTTTTGTCAAAAATATTTTGAGTCAAAATTTTATAATATCGAAGTCATTGACGTATTATGAGTTATCTTCTTATTGAAATGTAATTAAGTACCAAAATTCAAACAGTAGGCATATCCCATTATCAAATGCGATTAAAACAAACAATTTGAACGAACTCATCGACATTGTAGAGTTCAAATAATTGCAATCACGAATATTGACGAACATGTCATGTGGTACTGCGATAACCGAATGGATAACCGACACAAAGACTTCCTAGAATCTGAGTAATAATTTAGGTAAAACAACCAATTGATTGTGGCTTTTACAAATAAGCTGATAGTTGTTGCAAACAACTTTATTTACTGTACCTAAATACAAGACTTTTTCATACCTACCTACATCTTAGCATTTTCCTTCCCTATGACAAATTAAAGCTAGAATAATTTTATAAAAGTTACACCGGCAAAAACCCATTGCAGTTAAACGACTTACCTAATCGTTATAACTGAGGAAAATCTTACAGAATAAACTGATGGGATCTAGTTTCTTTAACTACTTTAATAATAGACTATCTTAAAAACAATTACCTACCTACATTCATTTACTAAGGAAATATTCTCCAATAATGTATGGTTTATTTCAAACTGTTAAACAATGTATCTTCCAAAACTTATAACAACCGTCGAGAATGGAAGGTGCAAACCAGTGAACAGTTCTTTTTAATAACTTTGGTGTTGGAACTGTTGGACCACTTGATTTGGTCAACAGTTCAACACTACGAGTATTCAGTAAACTGTATTTTTTCCCGGACAGAAACTGACATTTTTGCCGATCGAATGGAAGCAATGGAAGTCAGTTCAAATGTCAAAAAACTGGAGCATACAAGCGTTCCCGGAGATAACCAACGTGGAGCACTGGCAGATAAAGGTTAGTTACACCACCAGCACGCGGTGAGCCAATCACCGCTGATGCAAGCTCCTCGGTTCAACTGATAACGCGACTTCAGATTGTCCCAAGGCGGGGTTTTCTCGAACCGTCTATACAGGTCACATGACAGGCCAATTTCAAGACAATCTCAAGTTTTATCTGAGTGACGCATGGGATAACATTGTAGCGCGATAGATTTTGTGTTATGATAAGCTTAATTATTTTCCTGCGCTGCCATTTTTTATCAGGGCTGTGATAACCTATAGTTCCGGATCTACTGAGATAGTTTACACTGGAGATCAAGGGAAAACTAAGATGTACGTCTAACGGTCGGCAGGGCATAATTCACACATTACACGTTTATCTGGAATTCTGGAAGTGACTGTTATGAATCAAGGGTAACAGGGTTATTGGATGCCAGTGATTATAGGCTTTTCCCACTTGTTCTGACTGAAGACCAATTCCTTCCCAAAATATCCTGTATCAACCACGCAATCAAAGTTTTCTTGCGGCTGCAGATATGCCTTTGCTTAGGGCGTGAACACTGCGCGCGCGCATCGCAGTGGCATCTTTGTGCCCCACGTTTTAAGGACGAAGGTACAAAAAATTTCAATATTTACTTTTCTCTAAAGAATCTCCTTGTACCCACCTCGGAATCAAAGTTGTCGTGCGGTTGCAACTGAGCTTCAGGGCGTGCGAACTCCCGGCGCGAATAGAACACGTTGTGCACGCGCTCGTGCCCGGCCACGTCGCGTGCTAACGCCAGGATCGCGGAGCAGCTTCGTCAGGATGAAGCGGCTTAAAATACCAATCCTTCTTCCCAAGGAATCCCCAAGTAAATAAATAAATAAAAATAAAAAATCGTTTATTGTTTGCTTTACAAAAAAGGAATTACAAAAAAAAACCTTATATTAAAAAGGTGGAAGCAACTGGAGGTGGCTCAGCTTGTGCTGCCAAGGACTACTTGCCCTAGACGGCGCTGGTTTTCAGCCATCCCCACTTCTCTTGAGGTGTTGATCGAGAAGATTGGTCACGGGGGCTTAGAAAATACGAGTAAAAGGAAAAACAATAATAAAAAGAGAAATACTAAAATAGAGTAGTTACACTTCTTTTTGTGCCTGTGGTGTAGGTGTGGTGTGGTGTGAGTGTAGTGTGGGTGTAGTGTAAGTGTGGTGTGTATATTCTATGCTAAGTGAAATACTTTTTTAGGGGCAGTAGTTTCCAATAACCGTGACGAAGATCCTCTGCATCTCTTTGTTTTGTAGTACTATAGATAGAATAGATAGAAAGTACCCACCTCGGAATCAAAGTTGTCGTGCGGTTGCAACTGAGCTTTAGGGCGTGCGAACTCCCGGCGCGAATAGAACACGTTATGCACGCGCTCGTGCCCGGCCACGTCGCGTGCTAACGCCAGGACCGCACAGCAGCTTTGTCAAGATGATGCTACTTAAAACATCAATCCTTCTTCCCAAAGAATCCCCAAGTACCCACCTCGGAATCAAAGTTGTCGTGCGGTTGCAACTGAGCTTTAGGGCGTGCGAACTCCCGGCGCGAGTAGAACACATTATGCACGCGCTCGTGGCCGGCCACGTCGTGTGCTAACGCCAGGACCGCACAGCAGCTTCGTCAAGATGAAGCGACTCAAAATATCAATCCTTCCAGCAGAATCCCCAAGTACCCACCTCGGAATCAAAGTTGTCGTGCGGTTGCAACTGAGCTTTAGGGCGTGCGAACTCCCGGCGCGAATAGAACACGTTGTGCACGCGCTCGTGCCCGGCCACGTCGCGTGCTAACGCCAGGACCGCACAGCAGCTTCGTCAAGATGAAGCTACTTAAAATATCAATCCTTCCCACTGTCCCCAAGTACCCACCTCGGAATCAAAGTTGTCGTGCGGTTGCAACTGAGCTTTAGGGCGTGCGAACTCCCGGCGCGAATAGAACACGTTGTGCACGCGCTCGTGCCCGGCCACGTCGCGTGCTAGCGCCAGGACCGCGCGCACGCAGCGCAGCGGCGTCGTCGTGCCGCACGTCTTCAGGATGAAGCGACGCTTCGATACGAACATGCTGCTTTCGCTGTGGAAGAAGAGAACGGTCAGATATTGCTACATTACAGAACGTCGGCATAATGTTAGGTTACAACATTCATATAGTTCCAAAATACTGAACTGTCCTATCCATGACATTGACAGCGGGGCGCCACCGTCAATACCGGATCGCTGGTTCCGATTTTTGCCATGTTGGAAACCATATAGTTGAATGATGGTAGCGCCCCCCTGTCATTGAGTTTGGTAGGACAGTTCAGCGTGGTTGACTAAATAATGCTAATCTGGCTATAGGGATGTGTGTAGGATAGTGTAAAAGATAAATTTTTCCTAGTGCAGTAATGAGGATCATTTTATAAAAAATCCGGCTCGAAGGACTAACTTAGTCTTTTTACTTTACGAAATTAATTTCTGTCAAATAACTGTAGTTTATCTGCTATATTTCATAATACAAAATGCGTTTGAATTTTAACTAGTACAGACAGACACAACATTAGAGGTTTTGGACCTTTATCTTGCCCTAGTTTGTTCAGCACACAGACAGACAAACGATAGCATTAACTATTATGACCCGACGGTTTTTAAACAATGATAGCGTGCACTCGTATCAGGCTGCAGTGAAATATTTTTAGAATAATTACAGGTCAGTGATAGGCAATATCAATGTAACTACTTACTTATTTTATTCACTTCTACTTACTTGTTTATCATTTACATTATACATGAGTAAGTACTAAAGAGTCAACAAACGCAAACTAAAGTCCAGAAAGAGGGCACTATCTCTTGTTACAATATGTTTTCTTAAAATATCTTGTCCAATTAGGAAACTTTAATTACTAATACATTATTGTAAATATTTACAAAATCCGATAAGCTGTCACAATCGCCACAAACTGCGCATTTGAAAATAGACATGAGCGTCTAAAGAGTCCAAGGCATTTATTTTTAATCCGGGTCGATGACCTATTACTAACTAAATGATAAGCATTCGGTTAAATCGATGTTAAAAATCATTTAATGACTTTTTTGTGAGTTTTTTTTATAGTTACTTCCGTGAACTAAGCATGCATGAGTTTTTATGGACCAATGAAATAATAATATACGATATTATCGCAAACTGTGTTTTTTTGTATTTTCTTTATTTCTTTGTTTGTTTTTTTTTTAATTTTAATGGCTTTTTTTTTCATTATTATAACAATGTGTGAAGTATTTTAAAAATCTGCTTCTGACAAACGACTGGGAAAATAGATAAATAAATTAGTTATTAAGTAAATGTTTAATAATTTGTATTGTCTTTGGAACCGATTAGATAAATCAATGGTCATGCGACTTTACCTAAATGATTAAACCAAAGTTCATAGTTCATTATGATATAGTTTACTTGGAGATAAAATTAAAATAACTACAAAAAATTGTACAATAATGTTCATTGCAATTTGAATATGATGATTTAACTAATTAATTATTTCAAAGATATGAAATTTTATTTGAAAAATGAAATCTTTTACAAATAATTTAAATGTTAAGTAATGAAGTATAAACGCAAGGAAGGGATAAAATGAAGTAAAAATAGGATCATATTTTCTAAATTAATCAATTACAGAAGAAAATCACGTAAAATAAAATAAATTGATACAAATTACTATGTTTGGCAGCCCTAGTCATAGGTAGAATATGAGTCATGCGCACGCGTCGACCGAGTGACGATTTTACCAGTTAATTATCGTTCTATCCTCTCAGATGTAGAGCTGAATATTGATAACTATTCAGTACATACGTTTAAAACTATGTTGCACATAAGCTAGCCGACTTTGTGCTTTAAACTTCAAAGTTAGAGTTCAAAATCGGTCGACAAGTCGAGTGCGCGTTGCAATAGTTGAGGATTGAGCACGCGCGCCTTACAAGTAGGTACGTATTTGTTGACATGTGGCGATAATGACCCGAGTTACGCAACGGTAGTATAATAAACATTTAACACGTTCCACTTAGCCCCATTACCCATACAATTATGCAGTCTGTATGTCTTTGTGAAGATACTTCCTTTTCTTGACAGAACTTTTGGACTCTGCAAATGTAGTTGGAATATTTCGTTTAGTTTCCTAGGTAACCTAGGTACGATCAGAATTACTAACGAAACCACAACTTACGAATGCATTCGAAAAGAAATTAACCACGAGCGGATGACTCATTTTGTCTTTCGATTTCCTAAACTGATTAAAAATTAGGAATACTGATTCGCACGCATTGTTAAGATCTTACGTGTACAATTTGAATAACTTAAGCGAATTGAATTTTTGATAAAAAAAAACTATAGGAATCTCCTAGCTATACCTATTCATTAGGATAATCAATATTCAATTCTATGACATAATACACTCCATTTTATCAATACACGAATAATACACTCGTAACAACGTTGTCTTATCGAAACAGCCATCAAAGCAATCAATAGAAAATGCATTTCTATTAATAAAACGCTCGTCGATTGCCCCGCGCTGTCTGGCTTGCTCGATTACCTGCCCACGGTTACAATCTAATCTAGAATCTAAACACCTACACTATAATCTATTTCAGTAATTTCTATTCAGCCGTAATTTCAGCAATTTATTACTCCTGAAACACCGTATTTTTCAACGTTTAGATTTGGTCCAAATGGCATGGAAGTTCGACTACCTTCCATAATCGTGAAAATTATTATTCTGATTAGAATAGTAAACTCGTAACAAACGATTTCGTAATCACAAAAACAAAGGCTCTATTTCCTTTCAAATTTTAATTAATCCAAAAATATCAATGAGTAACGAATAATATTAAAACTTTTAGCTCAGAAATACTTTCCAAAGAAAAGAATAAGAAACCAGAAATAAAAATATCCGAGTTTATCTTCGTCTGAAGAGAATAATAATGACTGTCCGTTAAATTGCCGAAGGTCTGAGTTAAAAATACAACAACTTTTAAATGTATTTATAGGAATACCAGCATTTACAGAAACGGCCAACATTTCGAAACGAGGTTTCTTTTATTGCGTTCTGTCACCAGACCTTGAGGATAAGATTTATCCCAGAGTAATATTAAACTCGAAATAACATCTGTGCGACAACTTTTAATAATGCAATTGAAGTAAAAACAAAAAGCAAAGTTTCAGAAATAAGTCTTCAAGTAACAATAACCATTATTGTATTGTTAATAAAAACATGGATACGATCATAAAACATGAGAAAATCTCCAAACATGATCGGTTAAAATTTTTAAATAAGGCTGGTGCTGTATTACATGAATATATATCGCTAATAAACATGGGAGTTTCATTGCACCCATTCAGAAAGTTAGAGGCAGTCATAAAAATACGGAAAGGCTTCAGAAGTGCTTAAGTTCCTTTGTTTAAAGAAAAGTGGCAGCGAAAGCCATTAGCAAGTCGAAAGCCGATGCTTAGTTAACTGTCACGCTATGCCTTGAGGGTAAGTTAAATATTAAATGAGTACTTTGCTGTGGCCTTATTATAAATGTCACACGACATTACAGCTTTAGGCTATACCTTTAAAACCCTTTGGAAAACCTTAAGAATCGCAACGAATTTTAGCCTTCTCGTAGAAATATTGAAGCTTCATTTCATGTATTCATATAAGTAGTGAAAAACCCAGACGTTTGATCCTTCATTTGACCCCAATCAATCTTGACTTGAGCTATATTATGGCAAGATCGCCGGTCGCCATAAGAGTTTTTGCTTTTGTTTTCCTCGCAAACAACAATGTCATCTACATAGACGTATAACTTGAGCTACATAGTAGATGCCAGTCAGTTTATACAATGCTATGAGTTAGTATAGAAGAGGCGAAGCAAGAAAGGGAGGGAGACATCTATAGATCGCAATATAGCTTTTATAAAAGTTTTAAATTAAGTAGTCCTTGAAATTGATCCCATTTTTATACACGTGTTGCAACTAAATAAAGACGATGCTAAACGGTGTGCAATTACATCTCCTTTAATTTGCATTTCATGTGAAACACATAATATGTCGAGCAAATCGTCCGATCTTGCTTTAAAAGGCAGATGCATTAAGAATCTGACGCCTTAGCTGTTATTTATACCTACTATGTAATCGAAGGAACCATTAAAATATTCACAAGTAACTACAACATAAACAGTCAAGTCTGAAGTCTACATAAAATTCATCGTCAAAAGCGACATCAGTAAACAAACAGTATAAATCACAACGCAGACCCCGCACAACTCAATCTGCGGGTAGGTACATGTCCAGACATGGCGGCCATATTTTCCAGACAGGCATGTAATGAAGTTATGGCCGGTATCGATCAGGCCCCCGCGAGCACCGATTGATTTCCAGGTAGCTGGTTCCTATACTTACTACCTCCCTATGTGGTTTTGATAGGGGCTATTTTGCTAATATGTAAAGCCTGGATGTACTGACTGACTGTACATCAATTTGTTGCCAGACATGGGGTGATTTCGTGGGGACGGTGTAATTGTTTGAGTAATTTGAAATTTCCAACATGACGTCATTTGCGTCACTTTTAGCGGAAGGATTTGGTAACACCAAATGTGTAGTTGAGTTTATTAAACTTTACACTGGTGTTGCTAATGTTGCTATGTATACTGGTAGTCAAATGATAACTTAATAAAACATGATAACTTGGTATTGTTATTTCGTAGATAGTATATTTAATAGATTTGCCTAGTTGCATGGATGAGAACATGTTGCCTCATGGCATACTCATGGCTCATATCATAACACCATAAAATATGTTCCTCTTATCTGGTATCAATACTCTCTAAATACAATCAAGATAAAGATGTAATAGGCACGTTATCTGCTTATTTGCTATCACTATCAGGATGGTTATGTCAACCATAAAATTAGCTTAGTAACACTAACTAGCGATACCAAGTATCAATTAAATGTTAGTAGGAAATTGAATCTCCTCCCAAGTAAAATTTTGACAAATCCAGTTAAGATGTGTTTGTTCAGGGACACAATCATATAACATTAAACTAAAGTGTGTCTACGAAAGG